TTTCTTGCCACAATTGTTAACCGAATCCCCGCAGTGACGGTAAGCTAGTAAACCTGGTTTTTAAGCGGATCCAGCTTCCCCATTGACTATGATTGTCAGAAAGTCGCAAAAGGGGACACGGCAACCGTCATAAATACGAGTCGGTTGCCAAGCCATTGGATTTTGATCATGGGACCACAGGGATGCTTCAACGGTCGTAAAAATGGTCCTAGGTCACTATTTTCAGTGCCGTTGTGACTTTGAACGGTCACTCAATGAACTGTCGTAAGTTGAGATTTTGCTGCGCTGGCTCAATTGTTCAATTTGTACATCACCCGTCTCTCTCTCTCTCTCTTTCTCTCTCTCTCTCTCTCTCTCTCTCTCCCCCCCCCCCAAGGCATCCCTGTTGGCTTTGCAATATCCTAAATAACAGGCAAATAACAGGCAAATAACAGGCAAATAACAGGCAAAAAGAACTGTTAAGACTGAAAGGCATTAAAAGCTGAAAGAGTAAAATTAATATTAAAATGGTCTCTGAATGGTCTGTTTATCTGGACTGAAGACGGGGAACGTGGGGGGTCTGAAGGGGACGTGACACAGAAACACCAGCATCACGAGGATTCCGGTCCAGGAGAGGCTCCATCCTCCAAGTCAAGGGGGTCCCAAAAGGCAACTGGACTTTCCTGATTTTATTTTTTTAAAAAAAAATATGTTTTATTGGGTTTATTTTACATATCGCCATCAATATTTAGCAAACAGTGTGTTGTCTGGGTTTGTATTTCTTGATTTCTTTTCCTTCCTGTTTCCTTCCTTCCTTCCTTTCCTTCCTTTTTTGTTTCTTTCTTTCTTTTCTTTCTTTCATTTTTTCTTCCTTTCTAATTCCTTCTTTTTTTCTTTCTTTTTCCTTCCTTCTCCTTTCTTTCTCTTTTTTCTTCCTTCCTTCTTTCCTTTCCTTTTTCTTTTCTTCCTTCCTTCCTTTCTTTCTTTTCTTTTCTTTCTTTTTCTTTTCTTCCTTCCTTTTTTCTTTTCTTCCTTCTTTTCTTTTTTCTTTTTCTTCTTTCTTTTTGTTTTCTTCCTTCCTTCTTTCTTTTTTTTCCTTTTTTCTTTTTTTTTCTTCCCTTTTTCTTTCTTTTGTCTTTTCTTCCTTCCTTCCTTCCTTTCTTTCCTTTATATTTCTTCTTTCTTTCATTCTTTTTCTTTTCTTCCTTCTCTTTCTTTCCTTTTTTCTTTTTCTTTCTTTCTTTTTTCTTTCTTTCCTTCTTTTTCTTTCTTGTCTTTTCTTCCTTCCTTCCTTCCTTTCTTTCTTTCCTTTATTTTTCTTCTTTCTTTTGTTCTTTTTCTGTTCTTCCTTCTTTCTTTCCTTTTTTCTTTTTCTTTCTTTTTTTCTTTCTTTCCTCTCCCTCCCTCCCTCCCTCCACCTAATCTAACACTCTAAACAGGTGTACCACTACAGTTGAGAAATGCCCCAATTGTGGAGTAGACTGGAAATGGAAAGCAAATGCAAGCAGCTTCCTTGTTAGTGCTGGGGGAAATGGTGGTGAGAGAGGGCCGCAGGAGAAGCCCCCAGACCCCCACTTTTATAGCCTCTGGACCTCCCGCTGGGCCACAGAGGGAGAAGCATCCATCACAAGCCGACACTGACGAGGACTGGATATTGCTTGCATGGTCTCTAAAGCTTCTTTGCTGTAATAGTTCATCCAAAGCAGCAGCAGAAATTGCATGTGGTTTGAATTATCCATGCTCCGAGTTCTACTCCTACTACCACTCTTTAACCAGCAAGAGCTTTCACTCCACAGAAATACAAATGACATTCAGGTCCAAAGTAGAGTAAAAACCCCACCCACCCCCAGCCCCAAATTCTCTCTTATTCTAAAACCATCCCAACATCCGAAGCAGAACATCCAGATTGCGCCACAGTTTTGTTCCCTACAGCAGAGGTCCCCAACCTTGGCAACTTTCAGACCTGTGGACTTCAACTCCCAGAATTCCCCAGCCAGCATAGCTGGCTGGGGAATTCTGGGAGTTGAAGTCCACAGGTCTGAAAGTTGCCAAGGTTGGCGATCCTTGCCCTACAGCATCAACCTTGTGGACTCCCAAACTTCCTTTTTCCGCTAGGTGTTCAAGATGTGTTCCGTTATGTGTTCCGCGATGTGTTCAAACTCCCAGAATTCCCCATGCTGGCTGGTGTTCCAGTATCTCAGGGGCTGCCCCAAACAAGAGGGAGTCAAGCTCTTCTCCAAAGCACCAGAAGGGCAGGACAAGAAGCAACGGATGGAAACTAACCAAGGAGAGAAGCAACCTGGAACTAAGGAGAAACTTCCTGACAGGGAGGACAATTAATCAATGAAACAACTTGTCTTGTAGAGGCTCCAACACTGGAGGTTTTGAGGAAGAGACTGGACGGCCATTTGTCTGAAATGATATAGGGTTTCCTGCCTGAGCAGGGGGTTGGACTAGATGACCTCTAAGGTCCCTTCCAAATTTATTATTATAAATTATAATTCTCGGAGTTGAAGTCCACAAGCCTTAACGTTGCCAAGCTAGGAGACCCCTGGCTTACAGGAACGTGTCTGTATATTTCCACGTGTTTTGGCAGAAGCTTCTCACGCCGGGAGTGAGTTTCTTTGGCCCTGGAGGGAGGGGAAAAATCAGGGAGGGGGGAGGTGAAGGCCACTGAGGTGCGCCCACTCAGGACACATCCAGGGCTTTGCCCCGTGCTAAGGAGACCAATCAAACCAGCCAGATCTTGGCTGGCTCTTCTCATAAGTGGAATCCGATGCCTGGAATATGATTGCACATCCAGACCCCCCCTTCTCCTCCCCACCCACCCACCTGTCCCCCCCCCCCACTCCCGATTCAGGCTCTGGACCACCAAGTATTGCCAGCATCCAGATTTAATAGCATCTCTTGAGTAGCTGTATTGCAAATGGGAATATTGCTTTGAAGGCAGATACAGGGGAGAAGGGAAACACGCTGCCCCCCCCCCTCCCTGGCTAACAGACCTGGAGCCAGAACAACTGACGAGCGGATTGTGTGATCTGGCTTCTGGTTTGTGTCTGAGGTGGCCCGTTCACCACAGCCAACTCACAACAGGACAACTTGCCAAGTTGCAGGGCAGGAGTTACACTAATAGGGAAGACAGGGTGGAATAGAATGATTCAAGAAAGGATGAAAAAGGAGGGACGAAATACATCCGAATTAGACATTGCTGTTTCTCTGGTGTCATAGATGTGGGTGGTGGGTATATGCAATTTTTTTTTTGTCATAGTGTATATTATGTAATGTTGATTCTTGTAGAGCTGTATACAACAAAATTTCATTTGAATGTATGCCGATTTGCGTACGTTTAAAGCAGGGGTCTTCCAACTTGGCCCTTCGATGACGTGTGGACTTCAACTCCCAGAATTCCTCAGCCAGGCACGCTGGCTGAGGAATTCTGGGAGTTAAAGTCCACTCCTCTTAAAGTCTATATCAGGGGTCTTCCAACGTGGCCCTTTGATGACGTGTGGACTTCAACTCCCAGAATTCCTCAGCCAGGCATGCTGGCTGAGGAATTCTGGGAGTTGAAGTCCACTCCTCTTAAAGTCTATATCAGGGGTCTTCCAACGTGGCCCTTTGATGACGTGTGGACTTCAACTCCCAGAATTCCTCAGCCAGGCACGCGTGCCTGGCTGAGGAATTCTGGGAGTTGAAGTCCACACGTCATCAAAGGGCCACATTGGAAGACCCCTGCTTTAAAGTGACAATAAACTAATTCCAAGTTTCAGTTATGCTAAGGATGAAATGGGAATGGCAAAAATTAAGATTTTTTTTTTTCATAATTGATTTTAAAGAATCAAATGGGACGGTTAACTTGTCCCAGGGTCAGTTGTCCCGTGGTGAGTTGGCTGGTGGGGGGTCCTCCCTTCTGTGGCAAGGAGAGCGGTGCACGGTCTCCCTTCCCTGGATGAATGTACAAAGACCAGGAAGGGGTTTTCTCTGAACCCAGGAGAGAATTTGTTTGGAGAACCGAGTCCGATAGTCAAAATCCCGGAAGCAAAACCAAGTTGCTCAGCCGGGCCACTTTAGCAGCAGCAGCAGCAGCGGCTTGTCTGGGCCCAGATTAGGATGGAGAAGATCGGGCTGGCCCACCCATGAGCCCTGGGTGTGGGTGTGGGTCTGTGGTTGGGGGGGTGTGTGTGTCAACTTGTCTGGCACCAGAGGCAGCTTTTCCAGCAAAATCAGGACACGCGTCGCTCGAGATGAATTGTGGAAAGTCACAAAATTTGCACGTGTTGGCAAATGAAGACACGGGACATCCTTAACTTAATGGGAAGGACACAGGCAGTCCTCAACTTACAACCATTTATGTTGTGTGTTGTGTTAGGTATGTATGTCCACATACATGTGTGTTATGCATGTGTACACTTGACAGCAAGCAGTTACATTTCATTTTTAACCTGTGCCGTTGTGCCCACAGGAGAAAAAAAAATGACAATAAAGGTTATCTACAGTAGTGGCCAAACTTGTGGAAACCTTTTGAAAAAACTGTACAGTAGAAATGCCATGTTTGGTTAAGTTTCCATCCATCCTTCTTCTAATTTTTTTTATAATTGTAGCCTTGTTCACTTAATAATATTATTTTACATCGCTTTCTGGGCGACCTGTCAACTCTTTGCACCGTGACTTTAATTTTATTAGATTTTGCAAGCTCACTAAATGAAAGAACACAAAAAAACCCCAACCAACTTGATAGCCATCACATAACACACCGACAAATGTCCTCCTCTCACCTTCAATACAGGACATCAATCACTGGATCCTACTGTGATCTGATTGGCTCATGGCCAAAACAAGATGACACCTGATTGGCTCTCTAAACACTCATGCTCATTGGCTAAAATCAGATGAAGGAAAGCTACCTGAGATCAACCTGAGTGTGCTTCCTTTTTCTGGTTATTTGGCTATAACGTTTCATAGAATACAGTACAGATAATTGAACAAACTTTGTTGCATTACGTTCTTGATTAAATTATCTTTCCATTGATGTATAATTTTATGATACTACTCCAAAAAAAGTAGGTGTTATTAGCCATCAAACCTCAAAAATACACTTTTCCCGAAAGATTTCCACAATTTTGGCCACTACTGTATGTACACATACATATGTGCTAGGTATGTGTACACTTGAGGGCAAGCAACTAAATTTCATTTTTAATGTGTACCGTTGTGCCCACAGGAAAAAATGACAATAAAGGTTATCTAATCTAATTTGAAATTGCAGTGGACTCAAAAACACGTTACTTAATGACCTGTCCTCAAAGTTACAACGGCCGAACCACGGCCTGTGGCCACATGGTTGCATTTTGGGCACAACCAGCGCGTATTTTGAAGCCATTTGCAGTATCCCGTGGCCAGGGGATCACTTTTCCGCCCTTTCTGAGCAAAAAAATAAAATAACCATGGATTTGGACTTATGACCATATGCGGTGACTTGTTTAGCAACTATCGTAAGCGAGCAGTTATATGTCAAGGACTGCCTGTGTTGGTATGAAGTCATCATTACAATTTTGGGGGACGATCCCCCAGGGATGGACGCTGCGGATGAAAGGGCCTGGGGTGACTTTCTCGGGAATTTCACCGTCTTCTTACAAACTGGAGGACTTTTCCAGAAAGCCTCGAATCACGACTGCCTCTTGCTTTGACGTCTCTCCACCCTGATTCTTGTCTGGAAAGAGGAAGTTGGCTTTTTGCCTTCCTTAAAAAACAGAATTCAAGCTTCCAGTTTATCTCAGCATCTTACCGTCCAGTCGTAGGTGACCTGAAGGACGGGAAACGGCCCGGCCGTCTTTTACGTGTCCTCGTGATGTCCGTCGAACACCGAAAAGGATGGAAGTAACAAGTAGCAAGACTTAGAAAAGGTGGAACCCGGAACGTGTGCAAATAGACCAGGGGTCTTCCAACTCGGCCCTTGGATGACTTGTGGACTTCAACTCCCAGAATTCCTCAGCCAGGCACACGTGCCTGGCTGAGGAATTCTGGGAGTTGAAGTCCACAAGTCATCCAAGGGCCAAGTTGGAAGACCCCTGAAATAGACCATCTCCCATTTTACCTGTGCACAATTTGCACACACCCAAATGTCTAAAAGCCCTCCACCAGGCAGAATTGTGCCCCCAACACTGGGCTGTGTCTGTGGGTGTCTGCAGATCTTTGTTGCTGCAGAAGTCAGGTCTGCATTTACCAACCGTGATTAATGAAATTGGGCCTAAGGATGGGGTGGGGTGGGGGGTATCTCCTGCGCTGGGCATGGCAAGGAAGGTGCTTTAGAAAGAGTTGACACTCCCCCTTACAGCCGTTCTGGGCCTCATCCCCATTTTTCTCCCAGGGGGGGATGATAGGAATTGTAGCCCCAACGTCTGGAAGGGAATTCTGCTCAAGCAACCCGGGCGAGGGTCCAAGGCATCCAAGGAAGCCTGTGATGTGGAAAAGTGGCCAGTTTTGAATGGTTGACCCCTTGCTGGATGCCCTGGTCTTCTCCCTTTCTGGGTCACCCTTCTGCTTTCTGAAGGGGTCTTCTACAGGGCACCTTGTAGGTCGTGATAGTCACATTCAAGCATCGCCAGAAAGGGGTGCAGTTCAAGGTGCTTGAGAAGATGAGATCGTGGTCAGGCAGTTTGGTACATTCAGCCCAGCCAGGTCACCTGAGCAGCATTGGGGACAAAGTGGGGAGGGGCAGTTTTAAGGTTTTGGCTTCATCTCAGTAGCGCGGTGTCTACAAGGCAGCGTCGGTGCTCCTTCCTTCCACGCAGTTGTGGGAGGGGGAGAGGGGGTCTCTGAAATCTTGGTAGGTCTCCTCTCCTTTGTCTCCTGCCCGGATCCAGGAGGCGGGGGGCTTCAGCTGAAGGGCTTCACCAGCTTCATGGCCGCGTAGTTCTGCAGGGAGGAGAGAAGAACCACTGGGGAGTCAAGGCCAAGCAATACCAATCAGAACAGGGATCTGTGGTGGGATCCATCTTCTCCTACTAAGGGCCAGCTCCACCATAAATGGAACCCTGCAGAGATCTGTGGCTTTTTATGGGTCATGAAAAACTGTACAGGGGACAACCAGCACCTTGATCTGCACCCAAACTATATTAATAATAATAATAATAACAACAACAATAATAATAATAACGTGGCAGTGCCTGGAGACAGCAGAATAGATGAGAAAGAACTGGAGAAGATAACAAAATACAAAGACCTACAAATAGAAATAGAAAGACTGTGGCAAAAGCAAGCAAGGGTAGTACCAATAGTAATAGGCTCCTTGGGTGCAATCCCAAAACAACTGGAGCACCACGTGAACACCATTGGCATTGATAAATTCGCTATTAGTCAATTGCAAAAGGCGGCCTTACTAGGAACTGCTTCCATCCTGCGACGATATCTGTAATACCATCAAACATCCACATCTGCCTATCCCAGGTCCTGGGTAAGGACTCGATAGGTAGACAAAATGCCAAATCCAGTCTGAACATCTGGCTGACTGTGCAATGATTAATAATAATAATAATAATAATAATAATAATAAGGAACTGCTTCCATCCTGCGACGATACCTGTAATACCATCAAACATCCACATCTGCCTATCCCAGGTCCTTGGGAAGGACTCGATAGGTAGACAAAATGCCAAATCCAGTCTGAACATCTGGCTGACTGTGCGATGATCCATAATAATAATAAAGTTGGAAGGGACCTTGGAGGCCATCTAGTCCAACCCCCCCCTGCTCAGACAGGAAACCTATCACGACTTGAACTCCAAGTATTCTATGAGGAAACCATGAGGTTGAACCCCTAGCCCTTTTTCGCAAGGCCCAGAACGGACCGCTGGGAGTGCGTGGATGCCACTTCTGGAAGCCCGGGAGAGGTCTCCCGGGCTGAGAACGGCCCAGCGGAAGTGGCATCCATGCAGAGGACCACTGCCTAAAACCCAGACATGTCTCGGTCCCATCTTCTTCTTTGCATCACCAACAACGACAACCAACGGTTCTTCCAATATCTATGGAGCTGCCACAAAGAAAAGGGGTCAAAGAAGGGGGTCGTGCTGTTCTCCAAAGCACCTCAGGGCAAAGACAAGAAACAGCAATGGATGGAAACTGATCAAGGAGAAAAGCAACCTGGAATTAAGGAGAAACTTCCTGGCAATGAGGACAATTAACCAGTGGAACAGAAGTTGCCTTCAGACATTGTGGGCGCTCCATCACTGGAGGTTTTTAAGAAGAGGCTAAACAGACACTTGTCTGAGATGGTATAGGTTCTCCTGCTTGAACAGGGGGTTGGACTAGATGATCTCCAAGGCCCCTTCCAACTCTGGTATTCTCTTATTCTGCATCCTGCTGTAACACAGGTTTATTGGCCTGTTGGAAGCAGCCGGTGGGCTCCCAGCTGGGGTCGGGTGGATTGTGGAGAAGGTTCAGCCAGATCCTCTCCTCCCCCCCCTCTTTGCCGCAGGCTGCCTCCCCGCCAGGAGCCGGTTGCACACATCGAAAGAAAGCCTCCGTTCTTTCCCTCCTGGGGGAGCCAGGCTCATGGACACGTTGACAGAGTTGGAAAAAGCTCTCCTGAAGCCCGGCTTTGATTCAGACACACACGCCGTGCAGGCAGGGGGTTCCCTTCCCAACCCACTGGATTGAATTAAGGCGGGCTGAAGAAAGGGAAAGAAAGAAAGAAAGAAAGAAAGAGAGGGAGGGAGGGAGGGAGGGAGGAAGGAAGGAAGGAAGGAAGGAAGAAAGAAAGAAAGAAAGAAAGAAAGAAAGAAAGAAAGAAAGAAAAGGAGGAAAAAGAAAGGAAGGAAGGAAAAAAGAAAGAAAAGAAAGAAAAAAGAAAGAGAAAGAGGAAAAAAAGAAAAGAAAGAAAGAAGGAAAAAGGAAAAAAGAAAGGAAAAAAGAAAGAAAGAAAGAAAGAAAAAAGAAAGAGAGGAAAAAGAAAAAAGAGGAAGAAAGAAAAAGAGAGAGAAAGAGAAAAAAAGAGAAAGAAAGAAAGAGAAAGAAAGAAAAGAAAGAAAAAAGAGAAAGAGGAAAAAGAAAGGAAAGAAAGAAAGAAAGAAAGAAAAAGGGAAAAAGAAAGAAAGAAAGAGAAGGAAAGAAAGAAAGAAAGAAAGAAAGAGGAAAAAAGAAAGAAAAAGAAAGAAAGAAAGAGAGAGAAAGAAAGAAAGAAGGAAAAAAGAAAAAAGAAAGAGAGGAAAAAGTAAAAAAGAGGAAAGAAGAAAGAAAGAAAGAAAGAAAGAAAGAAAGAAAGAAAGAAAGAAAGAAAGAAAGAAAGAAAGAAAGAAAAAAACCAGCCCTGGAAAGAGAACCGCAGCCAGCAGCAGCCGAGGAGCAGAGACGGGGAGCAGGGTCACCCCAAACATAATAAACTGCCGTTTGTGCCGGCTTCCAAAGCTCTCCTTGAGTCTGGGGGGCAGGGGGGGCGATGAAATGAAGGTTTGTCATTATGCTGGCTTAGCAGTTCTCTCTGCTGGAGCCCTGACCGCCTTCTAATTCATTCCCCATCAGGGTGACTTTCCCGGCTTGCCCGCCAGAACGTTGCAGCTGTTATTTTGAGGCTGCGTCTGGCGCTGAGCAGCTCCTCCATCTGACTGGGAGCCACAGGCAGTCCTCAGCTTACCCAGTTTGTTTAGTGACTGTTCATAGTTACAGCGGCACTAAAAAAAAGGGGACAGGGCCATTTTTTCATGCTTAACAACTATCGTAGCATCAAGGTGATCAAAATTGAGAGGCTGGGCAACCGACTTGTATTTGTGACAGTTGCCGCGTCCTGGGTTCAGGTTTTGCGACTTTCTGACCAGCAAAGTCACTGGGGGGGGGAGCTGCATTCCCTTCACAACCGTGTCACTAACTCAGGGGTAGGCAACCTTGGCTCTTTTATGATTCGTGGACTTCAACTCCCAGAATTCCTGGGCCAGCCATGCTGAGGGGAAAGGGAGAGGTTTCCAAGCTGAGCCAGGCTGGCTGAGGAATTCTGGGAGTTGAAGTCCACGAGTCATGAGGGGGCCATAGTTCCCCCATGCTGGCTCAGGAATTCTGGGAGTTGAAGTCCACAAGCCATGAAGGAACCAAGGTTTCCCTCATGCTGGCTCAGGAATTCTGGGAGTTGAAGTCCACGAGTCATGAAGGGGCCATAGTTCCCCCATGCTGGCTCAGGAATTCTGGGAGTTGAAGTCCACAAGCCATGAAGGAACCAAGGTTTCCCTCATGCTGGCTCAGGAATTCTGGGAGTTGAAGTCCACGAATCATAAAAGAGCCAAGGTTGCCTACCCCTGGCCTAGGCCTAGGCCGCTTTATGACTCATGGACTTCAACTCCCAGAATTCCTGAGCCAGCACGGCTCAGCTTGGAAAATTCTCCCTTTCCCCTCAGCGTGGCTGGCCCAGGAATTCTGGGAATTGAAGTCCACGAGTCATAAAAGAGCCAAGGTTGCCTACCCCTGCTCCAGTCTCTTCCTAAAAGCCTCCAGTGATGGAGCACCCACAATTTCTGGACAGAATAACAGAGCTGGAAGGGACCCTGGAGAATTTCTGGTCCAAGCCCCCCACCCCACCTATACCCTCCTGCTCAAATGGCTGTCCAATCTCTTTTTTGATTGTGCACCCACAGCTTCTGGAGGCAAGTAGTTCCACTGGTTAATCGTCCTCATTGTTGGGAAATTCCTCCTTAGTTCCAGGTTGCTTCTCTCCCTGATGAGTTTCCATCCGTTGCTTCTTGTCCTGCCTTCAGGCGCTTTGGAAAATAGCTTGACTGCCTCTTCTTTGGGGCAGCCCCTCAGATACTGGAACACAATCATTCCGAGATGAACCCATTCCGAGATGAACTCTCCCTGCTGCCTTCCGGGACATCCCTGGCTTCAGAGTCCCTTCGCCAACACACCCCTCCCTCCCCCTGCCCTCCCCCCCCACTTGTGGGGTTGCCAAAGAATAATGTGGAACAGAACAGCCCGAAGACCCAGATCCAGGGTGAGACGTTCAAGTCAGCAACCTCAAAATCTGGGGAGGGAAGGAAAGGCCTCATCCAGAGAAGAGAAATTCCAGGACATGCCTCGGTGGCTTTCCAAAAGCAGGAAGAGGCTGCCCAGACTTTGCATAGATGGGGTTTCCAATGCTCTCCTGCTCCATCCCAAACTCCAGGCCCAGCCCCCCCCCCATCATTTGAGGGGCTCTGAGCAGCCAGCCCTGCTGAGCGGGGGGGGGGGGGAGGGCAAGGATGACCCTGGCTGGGTGCCTCTGCTTAAAAAAATGGGGAGAGGGGAGCCAGAAGTGGCTCCGTGACTCTGCTACAGCTTTGCTCCCTCCGCCATCCGTCTGGACAATTCACAAGGTTTGTTTTTTCTCGCCACGTATAGGAACACATGCAAACTGGACTGTGTAGTTTCTCTGGGCCACATATGTGTGTATATGTGTGCATGTATACATAGGCATACTTTTATTTATTTATTTTATTGTCATGTCTATGCAGTGTCTATTGGAGGTGGTTATCCTTTGAGAGCTGTATGCAACAAATCTCGTTTTAATGTATGCTGATTAGTATATATTTAAAGTGACAATAAAGTTATTATTCTATTCCATTCTATTCTATTCTATTTCTATTTCTAATTCCTATTCTATTCTATTTCTATTCTATTCTGTTCTATTCTATTCTATTCTATTTCTATTTCTATTTCTATTCCTATTCTATTCTATTTCTATTATTTCTATTCTATTCTATTCTATTCTATTCTATTCTATTCTATTCTATTCTATTCTATTCCATTCCATTCTATTCCATTGTATTCTATTCTTTTCTATTTCTATTATTTCTATTTCTATTCTATTCCTATTCTATTCTATTTCTATTATTTCTATTTCTATTCCATTCTATTCTATTGATAACAGCCACAAAGCTGTGGAAGGGATACTTGAAGGTCATCTACTCTCACACAAGTAAAGGCCCCGAGCAGCAATCTTTTCCAATCCACATAAATGAATTAAATATTTCTTTAAACGTTTTCTGTCCAACTTTCTGGAGAGGAGGCAAACCTTCCCCACCAGAGTGTGCTACATTGGGCAAGCAGGATTTTAAGAAGCTTCCCCTGGGCTCGCAGGAGCTGCTCCCAAGGTCTCAGGCACAGAAGAGGACAGAGTCAAGGAGATGCTGAAAGAGGCTGAGAAGGAGGGAAGAAAGGAGAGGAAAGGGAGGAAGAAATGGAAGAAAGAGAGAAGAAGGGGTGAAGACCGAAGCCCCCGTGATCTTACCGGGAAGGCATAGATGAAGATGCCCAGGAAGAGCAAGACAATGAAGACCAGGAGGAAGATGAGAAAGACCCACTTGAACCTTCTCCACAAGATGTACTTCAAGGTCTTGTAGGGTGAGGTGAACCACAGGAAGGAGGTCTCAGGCCGCCTGCAACGAAGAACATCTAAGTGGGTGGAGGACGTCAAGATCACCTGACATGAGACCCCCAAACCCATCAGAGGGGCCAGGGTGGGCAGTTAGGGCCAGGGCGCCAAGCCTGCCTTTGATCTCAGCTGGCAGCCCTTCCTAGTACCATGTCTCTATTTTCTGGTGGAAAAGAAATTGGACTAAGTCAAGAACACCTGGAGTCTCCAACCTTGGCAACTTTAAGACTTCTGGACTTCAACTCCCAGAACTCCTCAATCAGCAACTTTTAAGTCTTCTGGACTTCAACTCCCAGAATCCCTCAGCCAGCAACTTTTAAGTCTTCTGGACTTCAACTCCCAGAATTCCTCAGCCAGCAACTTTTAAGAGTTCTGGACTTCAACTCCCAGAATCCTCAGCCACCAACTTTTAAGTCTTCTGGACTTCAACTTCCAGAATCCCTCAGCCAGCAACTTTAAGACTTCTGGACTTCAACTCCCAGAATCCCTCAGCCAGCAACTTTAAGACTTCTGGACTTCCAGAATCCCTCAGCCAGCAACTTTAAGACTTCTGGACTTCAACTCCCAGAATCCCTCAGCCAGCAACTTTTAAGACTTCTGGACTTCAACTCCCAGAATCCCTCAGCCAGCAACTTTAAGACTTCTGGACTTCAACTCCCAGAATCCTTCAGCCAGCAACTTTAAGACTTCTGGACTTCAACTCCCAGAATCCCTCAGCCAGCAACTTTAAGACTTCTGGACTTCAACTCCCAGAATCCCTCAGCCAGCAACTTTAAGACTTCTGGACTTCAACTCCCAGAATCCCTCAGCCAGCAACTTTTAAGACTTCTGGACTTCAACTCCCAGAATCCCTCAGCCAGCAACTTTTAAGACTTCTGGACTTCAACTCCCAGAATCCCTCAGCCAGCAACTTTTAAGACTTCTGGACTTCAACTCCCAGAATCCCTCAGCCAGCAACTTTTAAGACTTCTGGACTTCAACTCCCAGAATTCCTCAGCCAGCAACTTTTAAGACTTCTGGACTTCAACTCCCAGAATCCCTCAGCCAGCAACTTTTAAGACTTCTGGACTTCAACTCCCAGAATCCCTCAGCCAGCAACTTTTAAGACTTCGGGACTTCAACTCCCAGAATCCCTCAGCCAGCAACTTTTAAGACTTCTGGACTTCAACTCCCAGAATCCCTCAGCCAGCAACTTTTAAGACTTCTGGACTTCAACTCCCAGAATTCCTCAGCCAGCAACTTTAAGACTTCTGGACTTCAACTCCCAGAATTCCTCAGCCAGCAACTTTTAAGTCTTCTGGACTTCAACTCCCAGAATCCCTCACCCACCAACTTTAAGACTTCTGGACTTCAATTCCCAGAACTCCTTAGCCAGCAACTTTAAGACTTTTGGACTTCAACTCTGGGAAGTCCACAAGTCTTAGAGCTGCCAAGGTTGGACACCCACCCGTGCCGTAGACTCGGTGATATTATTGTCATGCATCCATTTCTTTCTCCATTTTCTCCTCTTCCCCAAGCATGGCCATATGTGAGAGACAGCCATGTTGGAACACACCGTTACTTCACAGATTTTCCCTTCCAATTCTCCTCATTCTCTTCAGCGACCTCCAAAGAGATTGAGCCAAACCACCCCACTACCTCTCTGGCACCTCTTACTTTGGGTCTTCTAGCTTGGGGTTCATGTTGGGCTCATCCCGGCCCAGCCCAGCTGGCCGTTCGTCATGCTCTTGTTCGTTGATGATCTCCAGCGTCATCTCCAACTTGCCCTGCAGAAAGAGGGAGAAAGCGAGAGGTGAGGTGAGGCAAGGCCACATTTGAGAACCCAGAGATGTCCTCAAGGATTGATCACTTGTGGACTAGAAGCCATGGTAGGTCACCTCATTGGCGTGCAGAAGATCCAATTCTTGGCATTTCAAGGAGACTTTTAAGAAGGGACGGGACCACCACTTTTTTGTAAAATGGTATAGGATCTCCTGCTTGAGCAGGGGGTTGGACTAGAAGACCTCCAAGGACCCTTCCAGCCGTGATGGTCTATGTTCTAAGTCAGAGGTCTTCAAACCTGGCCCTTTTATGACTCATGGACTTCAACTCCCAGCACGTGTGTCTGGCTGAGGAATTCTGGGAGTTGAAGTCCATGAGTCATAAAAGGGCCGAGTCTGAAGACCCCTGTTCTAAGTAGACCAACATGTTGCAGGTTACAGCAATTTATGCTTTGATCTCAATGCTCCATATCTTCCTGAGGCAGTGAAGGAGAACGGAGGCTTGCTAAGAAGAAAGCCTTCCCTTATTGCTTCGTAGGGACCTTTTGGACCAGTGGTTCTCAACCTGTGGGTCGGGACCCCATTTGGGGTCGAAGGACCATTTCACGGGGGTCGCCAAACAACGCACTCTGCCATTTCCCCCCCCCCCTTTTCCTTAGCTGTGCTACTCCCTTTTATTCTGTTCGCTTTTGAAAGCCAATAGAATAGACTCTCTTGAACAGAGTCTAATTGTATTGGCTTTCAAAAGCCAATAGGAATTGTCCAGGCTGTCTCTGCCCTGCTGAGCCCGCCAAAAGTCTCATTCTGCAAACGGTGCTGCACCAGTTGAGTAGTCCTCGACTTGCGACCGGTTGAGTAGTCCTCGACTTACGATTGGTTGGGGGTCGCGGCATTAAAAAGGTTGAGAACCACTGTTTTGGACCATGTGGACATGGAAGTGTCTTCTCCATAGACACCTCATTCTTGAACCTGCCTTCTGGAGGCTTCGACGTTTCTCCAGAATGAAGGGGAGGGGACGAGGTTGCCTAGAAAACCTCGGGGACTTTTTGCAAGTCTGAACGAGAGCAGAACTGGGGGACGATGGCCTGCCACTTGCCTTCTAGACATGCCTGAAAAGTCATCCAGTTCTAGACCTCCCGTCTTGCTGGCAGGAGACCACAGCCCAAGCAGGGCTCAGAAACCTCATGGAACTGAAATCAAACTTCTGAAGTTGCTTTCCTCCGATTCCCGAACCCATAATTGAGGCAGGCTTGAGACTTCTTTGGTGTTCACATGTTTTTTTTCCCTTACAGCAGCCTGGGAAAAAGGGCAGCTGTCCAATCACACCGCGGTGCCTGCCATTTTTATTCTTTCAACCCTCCCTGCCTCGGTGACAAGCCACAGCAGTTGGGCCTAATCCCAGCGCTTTACGGAGCCTTCCAAAGTTGGAAAAGGTTCGGCTCCCTTTAAATAGATGTGGTCAGAAGTCAGGCGAAGAATCTAGAATCAAAGAATCAAGATCACGTGAAGTGCTAATACCACTTTACAAGGCCTTGGTCAGACCACGCTGGGAATAGGGCATCCAGTTTTGGTCCACACCATGTAAAAAAGAGGTTGAGACTCTGGAAAGAGTGCAGAGAAGAGCAACAAAGATGATGAGGGCACAGGAGGCTAAAACATATGAAGAACGGTTGCAGGAATTGGGTATGGCTAGTCTAGAGAAAAGAAGGATTAGGAGTGACATGATAGCAATGTTAAGAGATCAACCCTGACTGCTCTTTAGTAGGCCAGATCCTAAAGTTGAAACTCGTCCTTTGGCCACCTAATGAGAAGGAAGGACTCCCTGGAGAAGAGCCTAATGCTGGGAAAGATGGAGGGCAAGAGAAGAAGGGGACGACAGAGAAGGAGGTAGCTGGATGGAGTCCCTGAAGCAGTCGGCGTGAGCTTCAATGGACTCCAGAAGATGATAGTGGACAGGAAGACCTGGAGGAACGTGGTCCATGGGGCCGCGATGGGTCGGACACGACTTCCCAACTAACAACAATAACATCATTTGAGGTGCTTCCATAAAGAAGATGGAGTCAAGCTATTCTCCAAAGCCCCTGAAGAAGGCAGGACAAGAAGCGGCGGATGGAAACTCATCAAGGAGAGAAGCAACCTGGAACTAAGGAGAAACTTCCTAACAGTGAGGACGTTTAATCAGTAGCATGGAAGTTGCCTCTAGAAGTTGTAGGTCCTCCATCACTGGAGGTTTTAAGTAGAGACTAAACAGCAGAATAGCAGAGGGTTTCCTGCTTCAGCAGAGGGTTGGACTAGAACACCTCCAAGTTGAGAAGTTTCTCCTAACCCTATTGTTCTATGTTCTATGTTTTAAGAACCCAACGTCATGAGTCAAAACCTTGTCACCATTAGCTCCACAGAGCACCATTAGCTCTGTGAAATAACCAGATCAGAAGGACCAGGGGTGACATAATAGCAGCCTTCTCGTATTTGAAGGGCTGCCCCAAAGAAGCTCTTCTCCAAAGCCCATAAAGGCAGGACAAGAAGCATCGGATGGAAACTCATCAAGGAGAGAAGCAACTTGCAATTAAGGAGCAACTTCCTAACAGTGAGGGCAATTAACCAGTGGAACAGCTTGCCTCCAGAAGTTGTGGGTGCTCCATCACTGGAGGTTTTCAAGAAGAGACGAGACAATCATTCATCTTCTAGTCCAATCCATTGCTCCGGCAGGAAGCCCCATACTACACTGTCCCTCTGAGAACAAGCAGGATCGGAAGACTTACCGCAATGATCTTTGTGCCTTCCTGCTCGGCCACGCAAGGCCACCATCCCTTGACCGTCTTCTGCTCAAAAAGCGAGACGTCTCTCTCCCGAGTCTCCAGAAGATCCAAGTTGCATTTTTCGGCGGTCTTGCTTGGTTTTGGCATGCAGTTGAGGTCCAAGTGGATGGAGCCTGGAATGTTGGGGGGGAAAAGGGAGAAGAACGCAGAGGACAATTAAGCAGCAAGATATTTATAGAGAGGAATTTAAAAAAGTTACCTTGGCCACCCTGGGTTCACCACTCACCCAGGTAATCATCGAAGGAGAATTTGTCGTTGTCCCAGATTTGAAGGACCAGCTGGGGTGGGACTTTATTCTCTGTCTTGTCCAAGCTCCAAAAATGTTCCTGCATTGGAACATAGAGAAGAAGTCATTGCAAGCAAGACTGCAGCGATGTTCTCCATTAAGTAACAGAATACAGAATAACAAGAATAGAATAGAATAGAATAGAAATAAGAAAATAGAATAGAATAGAATAGAATAGAATAGAATAGAATAGAATAGAATAGAATAGAATAGAATAGAATAGAATAGATATTGGAATATAGAATAGAAATAAGGAAATAGAATAGAAATGAAATAGAATAGAATAGAATAGAATAGAATAGAATAGAATAGAATAGAATAGAATAGAATAGAATAGAATAGAATAGAATAGAATAGAATAGAATAGAAATAAGGAAATAGAATAGAATAGAATAGAATAGAATGGAATGGAATGGAATGGAATGGAATGGAACGGAACGGAACAGAATAGAATAGAATAGAATATGGAAGAATTACAGAATAGTATAAAATTACAGAATAGAATAGAATAGAATAGAATAGAATAGAATAGAATAGAATAGAATAGAATAGAATAGAATAGAATAGAATAGAAATAAGGAAATAGAATAGAAATAAGGAAATAGAATAGAATAGAATAGAATGGAATGGAATGGAATGGAACGGAACAGAATAGAATAGAAATAGAAATAGAGCTGGAAGGGACCTTAGAGGTCTTCTAGTCCAACCCCCTGCCCATGGCAGGAGACCTTATGCCATTCCAGACAAACGGTTGTCCAATTTCTTCTTGGAAACCTCCACAACGTCTGGAGGTAAGATGTTCCACTGATTAATTGTTCTCAATCTCAGGAAATTTTGCTTAGTTCTAGATTGGCTACCTCTGTATTTCACTGCAAACTCTCTGTAGGGAGAACAAACCCCACTTTCTTCTCGTATAAATAGGGGGCGAACCCCACTCCTTTCTAGCACTGATGATGTTGCGTCATGAAATGTCTGCAGGAAAACCACCAAACTCAGAGAGCACCAAGGACCCCACAGTCCAATCCTGAGCTGCAAATGTTCTCATCAGCACTGATGATGTTACCTAGTTGGGTAATGAAACATCTACATAAAAACAAGCAGATGTTTTTAAACTCCTCCTCCTCCTCCTCTCTGCAACCCCCCCCTTCTAGCACTGATGATGTTACCTAGTTGGGTCATGAAATGTCTGCAACAAAACAGCCAGGCTCAGACAGCATCAAGGATCCCACAGTCCTCCTCCTCCTCCTCTCCCCCCTCCCCTTCCTCCTCCTCCTCCCCCACTCCTTTCCAGCACTGATGATGTTACCTAGTTGGGTCATGAAACGTCTGCAAGGAAACCACCCAGCTCAGAGAGCATCAAGGACCCCACAGTCTCCTCCTCCTCCTCCTCCTCCTCCTCCTCCCCTACTCCCTTCTAGCACTGATGATGTTATCTAGTTGGGTCATGAAACGTCTGCAAGGAAACAGCCAAGCTCAGAGAGCATCCAGGACCCCACAGTTAAACCCTGAGCTGCCAATATTATCTTCTATTGTGTAGGGAACAACGTATGCAGCAATTTACATCCCGACCCTAATTTCATACTTGTGATCATCACAAAGTAACATTCCACTCCAGCTTCGCTCTTTGGGTGAGGATATATATTTTTTTATTTGACTGTATCTCATAATCAAAGGACGGGAGGCAAAAGAAAATGGGAAAAAGAGCGAGTTGCAAGCGGAGAACTGCTTGAGAAGCTATCACTCTGAGTACCTAGAGCAGCGGTTCTCAACCTGGGGGTCGGGACCCCATTTGGAGTCGAACGACCATTTCACGGGGGTCACCAAACAACGCAGTCCGCCATTTTCCCCCCCTTTTCCTTAGCTGTGCTACTCCCTTTTATTCTATTGGCTTTTGAAAGCCAATAGAATCGACTCTCTTGAATAGAGTCTAATTCTATTGGCTTTCAAAAGCCAATAGGAATTGTCCGGGCTGTCTCTGCCCTGCTGAGCCCGCCAAAAGTCCCATTCTGCAAACGGTGCTGCACCAGTTGAGTAGTCCTCGACTTACGACCGGTTGAGTAGTCCTCGACTTACGACCGGTTGGGGGTCGCGGCATTAAAAAGGTTGAGAACCACTGACTTAGAGAGTCTGATTCCCCCAGACCCGTCGACATCAGACCCGGCAACATTTGAGCCTCTGTGGAGCTCTGGCAAAGGTCATTTGGGCCTGTCTGGACGCTCACCTTCTTCGCCACAGAGCAGACCTGCTCAGCAGGGAGATAATCAAAGGGGAAGATGAACCTCCAGTTGAAGTTGCCTTCACCACCAAGAGACCTGTAGTGCACATCTGTCTTCTGCTTGTTCTCCTCATAACCAACCAGCCACCTGCGAGCCGCAGAAGAAGACCATCAGCCACAACATCACAAAGAAGAGAGCGCGCTTGTCAAAGAGTCATCCCAAATGTGTTTGTCTGCCACGGTTCCGATAGATAAAACCAAGTAAAAGAGCTTCAAGGCAAAGATGTCTTCCTCACAGAACATTTTATTTAGGGAACAAAGTATCGGCACTTACATAGGTGAACCCAAGACTAAAGTTCCTTCCCGCCCAGAAAGGCTGTCATAAATCACAATCACCAATCATTCTAAAACGAGGGTTCTCCTCCCAACTTTTCAGCCCGCCACAACTTTTTCTAGCATTGACCTTGATTCTCACACAGCTGCAATTGTTGTGGCCAGGGGTAGGCAACCTTGGCTCTTTTATGACTCGTGGACTTCAACTCCCAGAATTCCTGAGCCAGCCATGCTGAGGGGAAAGGGAGAGGTTTCCAAGCTGAGCCAGGCTGGCTCAGGAATTCTGGGAGTTGAAGTCCAGGAGTCATGAAGGGGCCATAGTTTCCCTCATGCTGGTTCAGGAATTCTGGGAGTTGAAGTCCAGGAGTCATGAAGGGGCCATAGTTCCCCCATGCTGGCTCAGGAATTCTGGGAGTTGAAGTCCAGGAGTCATGAAGGGGCCATAGTTCCTTCATGCTGGCTCAGGAATTCTGGGAGTTGAAGTCCACGAGTCATGAAGGGGCCATAGTTCCCCCATGCTGGCTCAGGAATTCTGGGAGTTGAAGTCCACGAGTCATGAAGGGGCCATAGTTCCCCCATCCTGGCTCAGGAATTCTGGGAATTGAAGTCCACAAGTCATAAAAGAGCCAAGGTGGCCTACCCCTGGTTGTGGCTAACTGAAATAGCTCAAGCATTCCCCCCTCCATCTGAAAATACCAAACAACAACAACAACAAAACCAAAGAAGGCAAAAGGTAAAATGGCTACAGCTTTTCAGTTGTCGCGGCGCTAACGCTGTCATTCTCATCCCGTTCTTGGACGAGAACTTCAGCTTCTTGGAGGAGAAGCAAAACATTTTCAAGGGAAAGAAAACCCCCAAGATCTTCCAAAGTTGCCCTTTGGAAAAAAGACCTCTGGGATCACCGTGACCTGGATGATGGAGGATCTCCACCTACGAGAAGTGGACAGGAACCCGTGTCAGGATGAAGCTTTGGGCTACCTACCCTTTCACGTAGATGTCGCTCATTTTCTGACCGGTGATGCTCAGGTCATCCAAGATGACGTCTTGGGCGTTCCAGACAATGCAACGCAAGTAGAACCTGAAGGCAACAGCCCAGATGGGGTTCAGGTGGAGAAACACGAGTCTATGGGGAAAGGCACGTGCAGGGAAAAGTTTGAGAGGGGGGAGTCGTTACCTCTTTGCTCTCCGCGGGGTCACGTTGAACGGCGGCCCCGGTGGCCCCAGCGATTTTGGGAACAGGTCCACCCAGAGCTGAAGTTTGCCCTGTAATGAAAGGGGAGGCCAGGAATCAGAGAAGAGGGCTCTCTTGGCCAGGATTGGCCCTGGAATGCAACTTCCTGGCTTCGTAGCCAGACGGCGTGCAGGAGCTCAGACGCCCTGCACTAAAATGGGGGTGTCTGTCGTGGAATCCCTGTGGAAGACCAACCAACCTGTCCAGGCAATTCCTGTCTAAGAGCCGTGGTGGCGCAGGGCTTAGAAGACAGCACTGCAGGCTACTTCGGCTGACTGCCGGCGGGGGGTTCAGTTCTCACCAGCTCAAGGCTGATTCAGCCTTCCGTCCTTCCGAGGTCGGTAAACTGAGGACCCAGATGGTTGGGGGCCAAAGGCTGACTCTGTAAACCACTTAGGGAGGGCTGAAAAGCACTGTGCATATAAGTCTAAGTCAGTGTTTCCCAAACTTGACAATTTTAAGGCATGTGGACTTCAACTCCCAGAATTCCACAGCCAGCGTTGCTGGCTGTGGAATTCTGGGAGTTGAAGTCCTCATGCCTTAAAATTGTCAAGTTTGGGAAACACTGGTCTAAGTAATAGTAATAGTAATAGTAGTAAAGTTGGAAGGGACCTTGGAGGTCATCTAGTCCAACCCCCTGCTCAGGCAGGAAACCCTACACCATTTCAGACAAATGGCTGTCCCGTCTCTTCTTAAAAACTTCCAGTGTTGGAGCATTTACTGCTTCTGGAGGCAGGCTGTTCCACTGATTAATTGTTCTCAGTGTCAGGAAGTTTCTCCTTAGTTCTAGGTTGCTTCTCTCCTAAATGCTATTGCAATAGCAATCATCTATCTATCTATCTATCTATCTATCTATCTATCTATCTATCTATCTATCCATCCAGTGGTGGGATTCAGCCGGTTCGCACCACTTCGGCTGAACCGGTAGCGCGTTTCCTAGGAATTAAACAATCAGGATTACTGGGTGGACCAATGACTAGGTCCAGGAGCCGTGCGCAAACCCGGCCAGTATTATAAAAAGAGACTCCCATTGACCTATTTTTAAGCTCTGATGATGTCGGTAGTGCTGACCGACGAAAGCTCACCATGTTAAAAACGTTATTAAACGTTTTTAGTTTAACTTTATCCTGGTGTTCGCGTTTATTTATTTTTACTATATATATTGATAGATGAGCTGTGGTGGCGCAGTGGTGAGACTGCGGCATTGCAGGCTAACTCTGCCAACTGCTGGGAGTTCGATCCTGACCAGCTCAAGGTCGTCTCAGCCTTCCATCCTTCCGAGGTCAGTAAAATGAGGACTCAGATTGTTGGGGGGCAACAGGCTGACTCTGTAAACTGCTTAGAGAAAGTTATAAAGCGGTATATAAGTCTAAGTGCTATTGCTATTGCTATCTCTGGGGGAACTCGTGAAGCCTGGACATAGTGTCAGAAGAATAAACTCAAGCCAAGCTTGCACAAGAATAAATAAAAGTGAAATCCAGAGAGCTGTGAGGAAATGAGATTTATTTATTCCCCAAAGCATAGAGGTTTGCCTACGGAGGCAGCTACAGAGGAAATGCTGTACAGAGAGATTGGTTGATGGGGCAAGTTGTCCGGGGTGTGGAAGTTGTGCAGGTGCTGATCTCTACACTGACACTTGAAGGGTGTGGGGGCGTGTACATGCTGACCCCAGAGAAGGGGGTTCATTAAATCAAGTGATGTGGATTGCGTTTCTTCGTTTGAACTGTGAGTATTATCGCTAGGTTTACATTGTGCTGAGTGTTGTGTGTTTGCTTTTGTGTGTGTTCACCATCTGAAATAAAAATGTTTAATTAATTCTTAGGTTTGCTACAAGTCTGAAAAGATTTGGGGGGGGCTGTTAATCAGTCATTTTGTTGGAGACAGACGATATATAATATTCCAAACCCATTTATATAAATGTATACATTCTTCCCACAATAGGACCCTCTGCCATCAGCATCCACATGCTTAGAGCAGCCTGTTGCCTCCTTTACACCAGGAAGTAAATTGCCTAGATGCAGAAATCTCTCGGATACTTGACTGGAAGCCTGGAGATTGAAAAAGGCGAAGACCCCAGAAGCTTCTCCAAGGCCCCCAACCTCTCCGTGCCAACTCTACCTGTTCAATGTCCGGCTGGAGAGAGCTGTACAGCGGCCTCGTCTCCACGTGCTCAGGGACCAGGCCTTGCTTCTGCAGGACGTGCAGGGCAAGCCGCTCCTCCACAGGACCCAGGTGGGGGTGTGGGGGCTTGGTCTCCTCTGAATCCAAGAGAAAAAGCAGAGGTTTCACCCATCGGCCCAACTGGGAGGGGAGACACGACAGCAGCGTTCCAGTATTTGAGGGGATGCCACAAGGAAGAGGGGGGTCAGCTTATTCTCCAAAGCACCAGAGGGCAGGACGAGAAACAACGGTTGGAAACTGATCAAGGAGAGAAGCAACCTGGAATTAAGGAAAAACTTCCTGACAGGGAGGACAATTAACCAGTGGAACAGCTTGCCACCAGAAATCATGGGAAACTCCATCAGTGGAGATTTTTAAGAAGAGACTGGACAGTCACTTGTCTGAGATGGTATAGGTTCTCCTGCTCGAGTGGGGGGCTGGACTAGAAGACCTCCAAGGTTCCTTCCAGCTCTATTCTATTCTATTCTATTCTATTCTGTAATTCTGTTCTTCCTGTCCTGTCCTGTCCTCTTCTCTTCTCTTCTCTTCTCTTCTCTTCTCTTCTCTTCTCTTCTCTTCTCTTCTCTTCTCTTCTCTTCTCTTCTCCTCTCCTCTCCTCTCCTCTATTCTATTCTATTCTATTCTATTCTATTCTATTCTATTCTATTCTATTCTATTCTATTCTATTCTATTCCTTATTCTGTTCTTCCTGTCCTGTCCTGTCCTGTCCTGTCCTGTCCTGTCCTCTTCTCTTCTCCTCTCCTCCTCCCCTCCCCTCCCCTCCCCTCCATTCCATTCCATTCCATTCCATTCCATTCTATTCTATTCTATTCTATTCTATTCTATTCTATTCTATTCTATTCTATTCTATTCTATTCTCCAAAGCACCAGAGGGCAGGACAAAAACCAATGATTGGAAACTGATCAAGGAGAGAAGCAACCTGGAATTAAGGAGAAACTTCCAGACAGTGAGGACAATTAACCAGTGGAACAGCTTGCCACCAGAAATCGTGGGTGCTCCATCACTGGAGATTTTTAAGAAGAGGCTAGGCCAGGGGTAGGCAACCTTGGCTCTTTTATGACTGGTGGACTTCAATTCCCAGAATTCCTGAGCCAGCATGGCTCAGCTTGGAAACCTCTCCCTTTCTCCTCAGCATGGCTGGCTCAGGAATTCTGGGAGTTGAAGTCCACCAGTCATAAAAGAGCCAAGGTTGCCCACCCCTGGGCTAGACAGTCACTTGTCTAAATGGTATAGGTTCTCCTGCTTGAGCAGGGGGCGGGACTAGAAGACCTCCAGGGTCCCTTCCAGCTCTATTCTATTTTAAACCCTCACAGTGAGTAAACCCCTCTCCCGCCTTGCTCTTGGGCCTTCTACAGATTGAAGAATCACTTCCATAACCACAGCAGTTTGGCTGACCTCTGGGAAGCCCATCTCCCCTTCCCCTCCCACCACAACAGTAAGACTGAAGCGATCCAACCTCGCAATCCAAAATGAGCAGAAACGCCTGCAAGCATGAACGTAAATAGGGAATCTGCTAAGGCAAAGTCTCTTCTGCCTGTTCTATGTGGGACCTCTTGGCTGTCCTTGCCATGGCTCAGCCCTGGGACAATGTCTCTCTCTGCTGGCCGGAGCTAACAAGCACAAGGCTCTCTGCAGCCCACCCAGACCCCAAAGAGGAGGGGTTGTCTTTTGGGAGATCCAAAAGAGGTGTCGGAAAGCTGGAAGACTCCGTCACCCTTGATATACAGAATAACAAGTGTTGGAAGGAACGTTGAGGCTCCTCTGGTCCAACCTTCTGCTCAAGCAGGAGACTGGACACCAGGAGGTCTTCCAACTTAGCCCTCCGATGACTTGTGGACTTCAACTCCCAGAATTCCTCAGCCAGGCACGCTGAAGCTACAAGGAAGCAGACGGGTGGGGCCTGTGTGTTTTTTTACCTAGATCCGAGAGGCAGTACACCTCATCTCCAAAGACGATCTGGTCAGTCTTGTAAACGGGAGGTTTGCCGCTCTGCTGCAAGGAGAAGTGATGGAGGAGCTGCGTCGGGCGCTGCTGGTCCCTCCACTGGTTGGGTCCAGAACTGGAAGGGGAGAAACAGGACGATAAAGCAGAGGAACCTCAACGCGTCCTTGGTCCAACTGCCTGCCAGGTCTGGGCAGCGTATAGATCAAGGGTCTTCCAACGTGGCCCTTTGATGACTTGTGGACTTCAACTCCCAGAATTCCTCAGCCAGCGTGAGGGAACTATGACCCTTTGATGACTTGGGGACTTCAACTCCCAGAATTCCTCAGCCAGTGTGCCTGGCTGAGGAATTCTGGGAGTTGAAGTTCGCAAGCAGGGGTCTTCAAACTTGGCCCTTTGATGATTTGTGCCTGGTTGAGGGATTCTGGGAGTTAAAGTCCACAAATCATCAAAGGGCCAAGTTTGAAGACCTCTGATATGGACTTTAAGAGGAGTGGACTTCAACTCCCAGAGTTCCTTAGCTAGCGTGCCTGGTTGAGGAATTCTGGGAGTTGAAGTCCACACGTCATCAAAGGGCCAAGTTGGAAGACCCCTGATACAGACCTTAAGAGGAGTGGACTTCAACTCCCAGAATTCCTCAGCCAGCGTGAGGGAACTATGATCCTTTGATGACTTGTGGACTTCAACTCCCAGAATTCCTCAGCCAGTGGGCCTGGTTGAGGAATTCTGGGAGTTGAAGTCCACAAGTCATCAAAGGGCCAAGTTGGAAGACCCCTGATATGGACTTTAAGAGGAGTGGACTTCAACTCCCAGAATTCCTCAGCCAGCATGAGGGAACTATGATCCTTTGATGACTTGTGGACTTCAACTCCCAGAATTCCTCAATCAACGTGCCTGGCTGAGGAATTCTGGGAGTTGAAGTCCACAAGTCATCCAAGGGCCAAGTTGGAAGACCCCTGAGATAGAACTGATATAGAGGCCAAAATTTCTGCTGCTGGGTGAGACACTTGTTAAGTGGGTTTTGCCCCATTTTCTTGCCAAAGTTGTTAACTGAATCACTGCAGTTGTTAAGTTAGTTTCATGGATGTTAAGTGGCTTCTCCCTTGAGTTTGCTTGTCAGAAGGTCACAAAAAGAGGACCCTGGGACACTGCAACCGTCATAGATACGAGCCAGTTGCCCTATGTCTGAATGTTGATCACGTGACCACGGGGATGCTGCACGTGTGAAAAATAGTCCTAAGTCCCTTTTTTTTCCATGCCCTTTGTAACTCTGAATGGTCGCCAAATGAATAGTTGTAAGGGAAGGACTACCTGTACTTCATCCTTGGGCAATCGGAAGACTCTCGTAAGTTTTCGCTTGTCGTCATGTTTAGCTACATAGGATGGGGCTGGATCTGGCGTGTCCTCCATGGAAAAGTCTCTCCCACCACTAAGTTACCTCAGATAATAATAAGAGCAGGAAAATTGAAGAAAGAGACCGATGGACTAATTCTGGCTGCACAAGACCAAGCCTTAAGGACAAATGCATACAAAGTCAAAATGGAGAAGACAGCAACAGACAGTAAGTGCCGCCTATGCAAAGAAGCTGAAGAAACAGTGGACCACTTGGTAAGCTGTTGCAAGAAGATTGCACAAACTGATTACAAGCAGCGGCATGACAAAGTAGCAACAATGGTACATTGGAAGATCTGCAAAAAATATCATTTGCCTGTAAGCAAAAACTGGTGGGATCATAAAATAGAGAAAGTCATAGAAAATGATAAAGTTAAACTGCTCTGGGACTTCAGAAGTCAAACAGACAAGCACCTGCAACATAACACCCCAGACTTAACAACTGTCGATAAGAAAGACAAAAAAGTCTGGATAGTGGACGTGGCAGTGCCTGGAGACAGCAGAATAGACGAGAAAGAACTGGAGAAGATCACAAAATACAAAGACCTACAAATAGAAATAGAAAGACTGTGGCAAAAGCAAGCAAGGGTAGTACAATAGTCATAGGCTCCTTGGGTGCAATCCCAAAACAACTGGAGCACCACTTGAACACAATTGGCATTGACAAATTCGCTATTAGTCAATTGCAAAAGGCGGCCTTATTAGGAACTGCTTCCATCCTGCGACGATATCTGTAATACCATCAAACATCCACATCTGCCTATCCCAGGTCCTGGGTAAGGACTCGATAGGTAGACAAAATGCCAAACCCAGTCTGAACATCTGGCTGACTGTGCGATGATCGATAATAATAATACAGCAGCTGCAGAACTACTGGAAGAAAAGGTGTTTACCGGTCGCAGATACACAGTGTTTGAAAACAAAGAAATAATGATCTGTTACTACAGATCAAGTCCAACAAGATTAATCAATTGCAAAAGGCGGCCTTACTAGGAACTGCTTCCATCCTGCAACGAAATCTGTAATACCATCAAACATCCACATCTGCCTATCCCAGGTCCTGGGTAAGGACTCGATAGGTAGACAAAATGCCAAATCCAGTCTGAGCATCTGGCTGACTGTGCGATGATCCAAAATAATAATAATAATAGTAGTAATAATAATAATAATAATAAAAAAGTTGGAAGGGACCATGGAGGTCATGTAGTCCAACCCCCTGCTCAGGCAGGGAACCCTATACCATTTCGGACAAATGGCTGTCCAGTCTCTTCTTAAAGACTTCCAGTGTTGGATCATTCACCACTTCTGGAGGCAGGTGGTTCCACTGGTTAATTGTTCTCATTGTCAGGAAGTTTCTCCTTAGTTCCAGGTTGCTTCTCTCCTTGGTCAGTTTCCATCCGTTGCTTCTTGTCCTGCCTTCAGGCACTTTGGAGAACAGCTTGACTCCCTCTTCTTTGGGGCAGCCCCTGAGATACTGGAATAATGCTATCCTGTCCCCCCTCGTCCTTCTCTTCGTTAAACTAGACATCCCCAATTCTAGCAACCGTTCCTTATATATTTTAGCCTCCAGTCCCCTAATCATCTTTGTTGCTCTTCTCTGTACTCTTTCTAGAGTCTCAACATCTTTTTTACATCGTGATGACCAAACCTGGATGCCGTATTCCAAGTGTGGCCTTACCAAGGCCTTGTAAAGTGGTATTAATACTTTACATGATCTTGATTCTATCCCTCTGTTAATGCAGCCCAGCACTGTGTTGGCCTTTGTTGGTAGCTGCAGCACACGGCTGGCTCATATTTAAGTGATTGTCCAGCATCTAAAAGGCCACGGGAACCCAGGAAGAGTCTGAGATGCCACCCACAGGATGGTCCTCCACCTTAGCAGATGGGCCAAATTCCTGCTTCTCCTTCCATGAATAGGTTTTATAGGACCGTCCAGAAGTACTCACATGCAGTAAGTCTGGGAAAGACCACAACGAGCCCCATATCTGGACAGGAAGCGGTTCTCCAGGTCAATAACGGTCTGCCCGATCTTCTCGTCTTTGGACAAGAGATCATAATCGTACAGGGTGATCTTCAAGTCCTTCTCCACGGGCAATGTACAAGTCAGCTCAAACATCCTACCGAAAGCAGAAGCACACAAGTCAGCAGAAAGGAACACGGGCTGGGATTTTTACGGAATTGCTTCAATGGTTCAGCAATTCTACCCTGATGGTGTTACCTAGCTGGGTAATGAGATGTCTGCAAGAAGACAATCAAGCTCAGAGACCAGCAGGGACTCCACAGTCCTCCTCCTCCTCCTCCTCCTCCTCCTCCTCCTCCTCCTCCTCCTCCTCTGCCCTCTTCCCCTTCTCCTGCTCTCTTGGGCTGGAAGGAACCTATCAGGGACCTATGGGGAGACTTACTTTCCAAAGACCGGTTCCAGAGTACAGGGGATGTAATTGTCCTGGTCATTAAGGGACTTCTTCCCCACAGAAATCTTCACATAAGGGTCACACTGGGTGGGAGAAGGAAACAGAGAGGGTCAAGGTGGACCTTTTGCGGTAGTTCCACGAAAGAGGCAGGAAAGGGCCAGCGACGGCAAACGGTCCTTAGATAGCTCCACCAGAAGCATTCAGACAACCAGCTTAGGAGATTGGCTGGTTTGAGAATAAATGATCCCAGGTCACCCCTTGGGTCTTCTCCTGTGCCTTCACCGCTACATCATGCTGCCTCTACTGCAGTGGTTCTCAACCTTTTTAATGCCGCGAGCCCCCCAACCAGTCGTAAGTCGAGGACTACTCAACTGGTGCAGCACCATTTGCAGAATGGGACTTTTGGCGGGCTCAGCAGGGCAGAGACAGTCTGGACAATTCCTATTGGCTTTGGAAAGCCAATAGAATTAGACTCTATTCAAGAGAGTCTAATTCTATTGGCTTTCAAAAGCCAATAGAATAAAAGGGAGTAGCACAGCTAAGGAAAAGGGGGGAAAAATGGCAGACTGCATTGTTTAGCGGCCCCCGTGAAATGGTCGTTCGACCCCAAATGGGGTCCCGACCCACAGGTTGAGAACCGCTGCTCTACTGGTTCCTGCAAATAGACTGAGCAACTAAAGAGGAACTTCGTGGAAAGCCCTAGAAGAGGGCGGTCCAACCTTGGCCCCTTTAAGACCTGTGGACTTCCACGGCCAGAATTCTCCAGCCAGAACTCCGGGAGTTGAAGTCTACAGATCTTAAAGTGACCAAGGTTGGACAACCCTGCCCTAGAACTTTCCTTCCCCACCTGGTGGTCCCTGGATGCATTGAACGTCCTGTTGGCTGGGGTAGTGGAGGCCTATGGGAGTAGTAGTCCAACCCCACCTGGGAGTTACCCAATTAAGGAACTTTGCATACGTGAACCTACATTGAAGAATAGAATAGAATAGAATAGAATAGAATAGAAAAGAATAGAATAGAATAGAATAGAATAGAATAGAATAGAATAGAATAGAATAGAATAGAATAGATATTGGAAAATAGAATAGAAATAAGGAAATAGAATAGAAATAAGGAAATAGAATAGAATAGAGTAGAGTAGAGTAGAGTAGAGTAGAGTAGAGTAGAGTAGAGTAGAGTATAATAGAATAGAAATAAGGAAATAGAACAGAATAGAATAGAGTAGAGTAGAGTAGAGTACAGTAGAGTAGAGTAGAATAGAATAGAAATAAGGAAATAGAACAGAATAGAATAGAATAGAATAGAATAGAATAGAATAGAATAGAATAGAATAGAATAGAATAGAATAGAATAGAATAGATATTGGAAAATAGAATAGAAATAAGGAAATAGAATAGAAATAAGGAAATAGAATAGAATAGAGTAGAGTAGTAGAGTAGAGTAGAGTAGAGTAGAGTAGAGTAGAGTATAATAGAATAGAAATAAGGAAATAGAACAGAATAGAATAGAGTAGAGTAGAGTAGAGTACAGTAGAGTAGAGTAGAATAGAATAGAAATAAGGAAATAGAACAGAATAGAATAGAATAGAATAGAATAGAATAGAATAGAATAGAATAGAATAGAATAGAATAAATAGAATAGAATAGAATAGAATAGAATAGAATAGAAGATAGGAATAGAATAGAATAGAATAGAATAGAATAGAATAGAATAGAATAGAATAGAATAGAATAGAATAGAAAATGGAATGGAATGGAATAGAATAGAATAGAATAGAATAGAATAGAATAGAATAGAATAGAATAGAATAGAATAGAATAGAATAGAATAGATTGGAATATAGAATAGAAATAAGGAAATAGAATAGAATAGAGAATAAGGAATAGAATAGAAGAAGGAATAGAATAGAAAGAGCGGAATAGAATAGGAATAGAGTAGAGTAGAGTAGAGTAGAGTAGAATAGAACAGAATAGAATAATGATAAGAATAGAGTAGAACAGAACAGAATAGAATAGAGCTAGAAGGGACCTTGGAGGTCTTCTAGTCCAGCCCCCTGCTCAAGCAGGAGAACCTATAAAAACTATTCTGATGTAGGCCACATGCTGACAATAGACGGGGCCTGCATTACGACTGAGAATAAACAGACCCTCACCACCACCTCCCTCTCTGCTCCCCCCATTAGATCAGCTAACTGCTTGCCAGGGAAAATAAAGGCCACACAGGGCTCGGGGGGGGGGGGAGGGGGGCTATGAATGGCCCACCCCTCCACTAAAGTGCGTAAGTCCCAAAGGGGATTTTTCCAAAAGGCAACTGGACTTTCTTGGGGGGGGGGGTTCCCCCTTGAAAACATTTCAAGAAAAGCTTCAGTTCTTAAGCTCTGAAGAACTGAAGAAGCTTCTGGGAGGAGAAGCTAAATGTTTTCAAAGAAAAAAACAAAGACAAGGATGGTGGAGACTCTCCACAGACACAAAGGGCACCAATATCCCCTGAGCCACAGGGACACCATCCTTTCTTTACGGTCGGAACGAAGAAGAAGGCAAGAACTTCCCAAGGAGAAGCTGAGAAATTGAGGAGACGCCCCCTGAGAAATTTTGCCCAGATCCTTGACGTGTCCCGAAGCGTCTCTCCCGGACAGGAACCCTGCTTCCTGGAGAGTCTCCCCCCCCCCGTTTTCCATCCCTGAGCTTACTTTTCCATTGGAATCCTTGGGCTGCAGATCAAAGGCCCGGATGACGTAAACCCTCACGAGACACTCCTGGGGGCCCCGGGCTGGAAGCTGGTGGAACTGGCGCGGAGGGACGGGCACCGTGGGGTCGTCGGGCAGAGGGTAGATCTTGAAGGAGCCCTGCAAGGGGAGGAAAGGCTTGAGTCTCCCACCCACATTGGCTGCTTGGGGGGGGTCTCTCCGGCAGTTCCAGGCTGGAGCCAGGAGTGGTCCAGATGTTGCAGAGGGACTCCTGAAGCACGCTGGGTATCAGAGAGTAATACCTCCAGCATCGTTTTTATTTTATCATTTCATTATTCTATTCTATTCCATTCCATTCCATTCCATTCTATTCTATTCCTTTTCTCTATTCTATTCCTTTTCTCTATTCTATTCTATTCTATTCTATTCTATTCTATTCTATTCTATTCTATTCTATTCTATTCTATCCTCCAATATTTATTCTATTCTATTCCATATTTTCTATTCTATTCTATTCTATTCTATTCTATTCTATTCTATTCTATTCCATATTTTCTATTCTATTCTATTCTATTCTATCCTCCAATATTTATTCTATTCTATTCCATATTTTCTATTCTATTCTATTCTATTCTATCCTCCAATATTTATTCTATTCTATTCCATATTTTCTATTCTATTCTATTCTATTCTATTCCATATTTTCTATTCTATTCTATTCTATTCTATTCTATTCTATTCTATTCTATTCTATTCTATTCTATTCTATTCTATTCTATTCTATTCTATTCTATTCTATTCTATTCTATTCTATTCTATTCTATTCTATTCTATTCTATTCTATTCTATTCTATTCTATTCTATTCTATATTTTCTATTCTATTCTATTCTATTCTATTCTATTCTATTCTATTCTATTCCATATTTTCTATTCTATTCTATTCTATTCTATTCTATCCTCCAATATTTATTCTATTCCATATTTTCTATTCTATTCTATTCTATTCTATTCTATTCTATTCTATTCTATTCTATTCTATTCTATTCTATTCTATTCTATTCCTTTTCTCTATTCTATTCTATTCTATTCTATTCTATTTATATTTTATTCTATTCTATTTATATTTTATTCTATTTTATTTCTTTTCTTATCATCTTATCTTATCTTATCTTTATCTTATCTTATCTTATCATCTTACCTCACCTTACCTTTCCTTACTTTACTTTATTTTATTTTATTTTTTGTTTAGTTTAGTTTAGTGTTTACTTTAGTTTCCCACCTTTATTATTTTATAGAAACAACTCACGGCAATGAACATCATTAATATTCTTTCCTCCCCCTATTTTCCCCACAACAACAATCTTGTGAAGTGGGCTTGTTGAGAGTGAGTGATTGGCCCAAAGTCACCCAGCCAGTTTTCATGTCTAAGGAGGGACTAGAACTCACCGTCTCCTGGTGATTGGCCCAAAATCACCCAATGGCTTTCATGCCTAAGGCGGGACTAGAACTCACCGTCTCCTGGTGATTGGCCCAAAGTCACCCAATGGCTTTCATGCCTAAGGCGGGACTAGAACTCACCGTCTCCTGGGGATTGGCCCAAAGTCACCCAATGACTTTCATGCCTAAGGCGGGACTAGAACCCACCGTCTTCTGCTGATTGGCCCAAAGTCACCCAATGGCTTTCATGCCTAAGGCGGGACTAGAACTCACCGCCTCCCGGTTTCTAGCCTGGCGCCTTCCCCACTAGGCCAAGCTGGCTGTCTATGTAACCTATGCAAGACAGGTGATGAGCTAAAGCTTTTTCAAAGACCCTAAGAAAGAGGGTGGACCTCGGAAATACCCTTTTCCTACAACCCATCGTACCAGTGTAGAAACAGGACATTGAGTCCAGCCCAAGGGGAGCCTCCGTCGTCAGTGGAAAGAGGGAAGCTGCCTTTTCCTCTTGACGCCACCAGACACTGACCGAGGCAAGCAGAGCCACCCAAATTAATCAGGGGATTAATTAAAGAGCTGATTAGAGCTGGCAACGTTTGTGGCCGGATTGATTGCGCCCCACAACGGCAGAAGGAGCTTCGTTGAAGAAATTGCTCCCCAGCAATCACAAAGCTTGGTCCAAGCAGCAGACAGCTCGATTGGGGAGGGGTCTCTTCCCTCCCCACCTTCATTCCCTGAATTGCAGTATCTCAGCAATGAGCACGGTCCCTTTAGGGAAGGGTCCCCAGTGGGGAGACAAGAGTCCCGGCGCAGTCACTGATGAGGGCATTCAAAGACACGATAGCCCTGGCACAGGGGTAGGCAACCTTGGCTCTTTTATGACTGGTGGACTTCAACTCCCAGAATTCCTCAGCCAGTATGGCTCAGCATGAAAACCTCTCTTTCCCCTCAGTATGGCTGGCTCAGGAATTCTGGGAGTTGAAGTCCACCAGTCATAAAAGAGCCAAGGTTGCCTATCTCTGACCTAGGCTTAGGCCCCTTCATGACTTGTGGACTTCAACTCCCAGAATTCCTGAGCCAGCCTGGCTCAGCTTGGAAGCCTCTCCCTTTCCCCTCAGCACGGCTGGCTCAGGAATTCTGGGAGTTGAAGTCCAGGAGTCTTGAGGGGGCCATAGTTCCCTCATGCTGGCTCAGGAATTCTGGGAGTTGAAGTCCACGAGTCTTCAACTCCCAGAATTCCTGAACCAGCCACACTTAGAACTTAGGATAGGAGTAGGCAACCTTGGCTCTTTTATGACTGAAGGACTTCAACTCCCAGAATTCCTGAGCCAGCCATGCTGAGGGGAAAGGGAGAGGTTTCTAAGCTGAGCCAGGCTGGCTCAGGAATTCTGGGAATTGGTCCACCAGTCGTAAAGTGGCCATAGTTCCCCATGCTGGCTTAGGAATTCTGGGAGTTGAAGTCTGTGAGTCATAAAGAGGCCTAGGCCTAGGCCAGACGTAGGCAACCTTGCCTCTTTTATGACTTGTGGACTTCAACTCCCAGAATTCCTGAGCCAGCCTGGCTCAGCTTGGAAACCTCTCCCTTTCCCCTCAGCATGGCTGGCTGAGGAATTCTGGGAGTTGAAGTGCACCAGTCATAAAAGAGCCAAGGTGGCCTACCCCTGGGCTAGGGATAGCAGCCACCCGTATGGGTCATGGACTCGTGGCTGGCAGCACCTGGGCCCAGAAGGATGCAAAGAAAAGGGCCCTGCACACCTAGAATGCGGGGAGCGGAAACAGAGCATGACGTCCCCTGCCCCTACAAGCCCTAGGAACTAGAGCCTTAAATTACTCTCTCGTCTGTTCAAGCTGTTCCGAAGGAGCTTGACCAACGTGATGCCTGCGGCTTCTTCTGCTTCTTCTGCTACTGAGCTGAGAATCCTCACTTGAACTCAGCGCCTCCCGTTCTCGCACAAAGATTAAAATGACAGAGTTGGAAGGGACTTTGGAGGTCTTCTAATCCAACCCCTCGCTAAAGCAGGAGACCCTATACAGTTCCGGACAAATGGCTGTCCAATCTCTTCTTTAAAAATCTCCCGTGATAGAACAACCGTAACTTCTGGAGGCAAGGAGTTCCACTGGTTAATTGTCCTCACTGTCAGGAAGTTTCTCCTTAGTTCCAGGTTGCTTCTCTCCCCGATTAGTTTCCATCCGTTGCTTCTTGTCCTGCCTTCAGGCGCTTTGGAGAAGAGGTGGACCTTCTCTGGGACAGCCCCTCAAATATTGAAAGTCTGCTACTTTGTCGTGTTCCCCCCCCCCCCGTCTTCCTCTTCATTAAACTAGATGCCTCCAATTCCTGCAACTGTTCTTCAATCGTTTGAGCCCCCAGCACCCTCTTTTTTTGCTCGTCTCTGCACTCTTTCCAGTGCCCCTGTTTATATCCTGACAACCAAAACTGGATGCAGGATTCCAAGCGTGGCCTTACCAAGGCCTTGTAAAATGGTATTAACCCTTTAAGTCTGACGTGCCAAACACAAGGCCCGGGGGCCGGATGCAGCCCGTGAAGTGGTTTCACGTGGCCCGCGAAGCCATCCTGGAAACAGTGAGGTAAAGGCCCCCCACTGCCTTGGCCCTGGCCCAGGCCGGCCGGGAGCCAATGTGCAATTTTGTGATGGCCATCTATGCTGAAACACATTCAGTCTTAGGTCCACAAGGCCGTCCGGAAACAGCGAGGGACCGGCCCCTGCCGCGTTGCCCCCGCCCCCTGGGTGCATGCTGGGGAGGGGTCACCCTTTGTGAGGAATGAAGAAATGCACCATGCCTTGGCGCTTGCCCCGGTCCCAGCCCCTTCTGCCAGAGACCCTCAGATCTGTCCCACTCTTGCCCAGGCCCCCACAGCATCCTTGACGTGAATGATGTAGAACTGGCCATGCCCACCCAGTAGGCCACACCCACTCCATCCATGACCAGCCAGTAGGCCACACCCACCCGGCCCCCCAAGGGCAACAGCAATGCTGATGCGGCCCTCAATGAAATTGAGTTTGACACCCCTGATTTACGTGATCTTGATTCTCTCCCTCCGTTAATGCATCCTAGAACTGCGTTGGCTTTTTTCGCAGCTGCCGCACACAGCTGCCTCCTATATAAAGGACCGTCCACTAGGGCCATCAAACCAAAAGGAGATGGGCCAACCTTGAATTCCCCAACAACGGTGGGATCTTCGCCGTCATCCTGAGCTTTGCCGCGGGACAACTTAAAGGTGTGGCAGAAATCCGAAAGGCCTCCAAAGTCTTCGACGTTCTCCAGCTCTGTCTCGTAGATCTGAGGAGAGAAGGGGATGGAAAGCATTTCGTTTCTTCTTCTCCTCAGAGGTTTGAAGGGAGATCTCCCAGCTTGATTGCTGTGGGGAACCTGACAGCTAGGCTAGAAGGAGGAGTCAAGCAAGGACCTAGCTTGGAATCCTTACACAGTCACAAGAGATATAAGACTAACCCAGTGATGGCGAACCTTTTAGAGACCGAGTGCTCAAAAACTGCCCCCCCACCCCCTTCACTGCTCTGCCCTGCCCACTGAGCCACCCACCACCTCCACGGCCCGCCACAGATCACCCAGGCAGCCAGCAGCGCCATGGCGGGCCATGCCCTCCACCTGTGCCCCGCAGCATCATATGCGTGCAATGGGGTGCAAGGGCCGAGTCTTGTCCCCGCTGCCCAGCTACCATGTCCTTGGCTCCGTTGTTTCGTGTGGGCTGCGCCTAGGAGCAACTCTCCTCCAGGGGGGCTGATGGTGAGGAGGGGGCCGTAAGGGGAGGCGGGGCTGGGGAGATGGTGCGTGTGCCCATAGAGAAGGCTCCGAGTGCCATAGATTCGCCACCACTGGACTAACCTCACCTTCCAGCCTAGCTGGCAGATTCCCCACAGTTGCCCTTTCCAGGAAAATGCACAATGGCTCTTGAAAGTCACTGAAAGATACGCAAAGAGGTTCCCTGGAAGGATGTGATAAGAGTGGATGTGGCGGGCACATGAAGTCCAGCATCTACTTGAGCGTTTACCTGGACCAGCATCTACCTGAGCTTTTGTGCAAGCCTTCCTTAAAGAAGGAACCGAGGGATCAAAAGTGGATCAGCCAAAGGTCCAACTTTGTCTAACATTTTGTTCCAGTCTTCAAAGGCTGTGGAGCAGCTCAATGTCCAGGAACTGCGCCCACAAGATACAAGAGCACCTTGGAAATTGTCTCAAGGTGCACCAGGAAGATAATTTAAGCAGAACTAATTAACTCTAAGTAGCAGTGTCCAACCTGAAAGAAGAAGTGGAAAGTGGCCAGAGGTGGGTAGGTTTCTTGTAGGTGCTGGATCCAAAATTGAAGGACGGTGACCTCTGTTGATGGCTAAGACATCTTAATATTTAGAGCCAGCAGGGCCCACCTAAGCATTTCATTCTGCTAGCCCAGGGGAAGGCTACTTCGGCTCTTTTATGACTTGTGGACTTCAACTCCCAGAATTCCTGAGCCAGCCTGGCTCAGCTTGGAAATCTCCCTTTCCCCTCAGCATGGCCGGCTCAGGAATTCTGGAAGTCCACCTGTCATAAAAGAGCCAAGCTTGCCCACCCCTGGCCTAGGCCTAGGCCGCTTTATGACTCGTGGACTTCAGCTCCCAGAATTCCTGAGCCAGCCTGGCTCAGCTTGGAAACCTCTCCCTTTCCCCTCAGCATGGCTGGCTCAGGAATTCTGGGAGTTGAAGTCCACGAGTCCTAAAAGAGCCAAGGTGGCCTACCCCTGTCCTAAACCGAGGTCAAGACATTCCTAGCAAGAAGTCCAGAGGTGACAATTGCATCTCCAAAGCAATGGCTTTCTCTCTCTCACACACACACACACACACACACACACACACACACACACAAAGGCAGAGGCTATCCAGGGTTTTTACCTTCAGGGTGTCGAAGCCTTTCTCCAAATAGGTGCCACATTTCTCTCGCTCCCCTGTGGATGCGTAGAATTTGCTCCACCAGTCAATGAACTCTTCTTCCTGGAAAGGCAACAAAAGACCAGCAGCTGATTTATTACCTTGAGACCCTCCAAGACAGGGGTCTTCAACTTTGACCACTTGAAGACTTGTGGACTTCAACTCCCAGAATTCCTCAGCCAGCTAATCAATCCTAGTTGGGTATGGGGCCTGCTCTCAATGTATAGTCTAGTGCAGTGGTGGCAAACCCATGGCACGGGTGCCAGAGGCGGCACTCAGAGCCCTGTCTGTGGGCACATGCGCCGTCACCCCAGTCCTGGGCCTTCAGCTGGGTTTGATAAAACCTTTTCGCTTTAGGCCTCCACCACCATGTGCAAAAAAAAAGGTTCAATCAATCAGTCAATTTCAACTTCTCGCGGGAAAATAAAAGATCTTGCAAAGTTGGAATTGATGGATTGAACTTTTTAGTCCCACCCAGTCTGCCGTGACCGCCGCAGCCACGCCCGGCCAATGGGCCACACCCACCCGGCACCCGATGATGCCTAAGTGGGTTTTGGGTTGCAGTTTGGGCACTCGGTCTCTCAAACGTTCACCATCACTGGTCTAGTGGCTTTCTCATCCTACCAACACTGACATGGCAAGCCACTAGAATATAAATTGAGAGCAGACCCCACTCTCTTCTAGCACTGTTGATGTTCCCTAGTTGGGTCATGAAACGTCTTCAAGAAAACAACCCAGCTCAGAGGGAACCAAGGACCCCACAGTCATCGTTGTTCTCCTCCTCCTCCTCCTCCTCTTCCTCCTCCCCTCCTCCTCTTCCTCCTCCTCCTCCTCTTCCTCCTCCTCCTCCCCCTCCTCTTCCTCCTCCTCCTCCTTTTCCTCCTCCTCCTCTTCCTCCTCCTCCTCCTCCTCCCTCCTCCTCTTCCTCCTCTTCTTCCTCCTCCTCCTCCTCCCCCTCTTCCTCCTCCTCCTCTTCTTCCTCCTCCTCCTCCTCCTCTTCCGTCTCCTCTTCCTCCTCCTCTTCTTCCTCCTCCTCCTCCTCTTCCGTCTCCTCTTCCTCCTCCTCCTCCTTCTCTTCCTCCTCCTCCTCTTCCTCTTCCTCCTCTTCCTCCTCCTCCTCTTCCTCTTCCTCTTCCTCCTCCTCCTCCTCCCCCTCCCCCTCCTCCTCCTCTTCCAACCTGACTCCTTTCTAGCACTGATGATGTTACCTAGTTGGGCTCAAAGAGCACGGAGGACCCCTCAGACTCGGAAGAAGTTGGCAACGAGCAAGCTGGCCCGGAGACCAACTCAGCAGCAAGCAAGGCTTTCTTGGAGACTGCAGTTTGGTTTTTCGTTTTTTAAGCCTTTTTTTTTTTTTTTTTAGCTAACTCTTCTGAACATTGATTGAAACCACAACGGGGCAATTTGTATCTCGTGAAACATTCCTCCGCAAATAAATAACTCATTTTACCATTCCACCAAATTCCACCGGGCTAAGCTCATCAAGAAGCCATTATTCGGGGTTTATAGAGTTTGACTCCAGGCCAGCCCTGCAAAATTCCTGCTAGTCACCTTCTCGGGTGGGGGGGGGGGCACCGAACCCAACCCTCCCCCTTGCCCACCCCACATTTCTTCCCAGAAAAAATGACATGCATTTCCTCTTCTTTTCCCCCCTTCTTCTTCTTCTTCCCAGGTCTCCATTTTTCACCCAGAACTCTCCGACCGAAACGGGCTTTATTCTGACATTCCGCAGGTGCCAAATGACCAAGAAAGCTTTCTGTCATTTGAGGATTTACCTTGGGTATCTGTGACGGCCCCAAGACAAAGTTTTGGAAGGGGGTTACCGAGAGGAAGGAGAAAAAAAAGTGTTTTTCTAAAAAAAATAAAAAAAATTAAAGCGAAATGCCAGGAAAAGCAGCTGGAATGTTAAGTGGAAAGGATGCTAATCTGTCTCCCTTGGAATGGAAAAGCCACACAAAGGACGGGCTGCTCACAACCGGGGAACGCGCTCCCCGGATCCAGCCAGGCTACGAAGTCGCCGATCAGCATTTGTTTGGCAACCCGGGTTTAGCCCAAGGTGCTGCCCAGCGACGGCCTTGGCGACGCAGAGGGAGTCCCAAGTTTTATGCTGCTCAGTCTGACCGTGGTTCAAGCCAGTTTAGGGCCATTTTATGACCGCTCTTGCCGCCGTAGTTAAGGGCATCGCCGAAGTTGCAAAGTTGTAAAGTGAGTCTGGCTTGCCCATGGACTTTGCTGGTCAAGGTCACCAAAGGGGGATCACGTGACCTCAGGACTCTGTGGCCGTCGTAACTGTGAGCCGGTTGCCAAATGTCCAAATTTTGATCGGGTGCTGCTGCAATGGTTGTGTGAAAAGTGATCTTATGTCATTTTTTTCATGACCCAACTAGGTAATATTATCAGAGCTAGAAGGGGGGGGGAGGAGGAGGAGGAGGACGACGATGACAACGACTGTGGGGTCCTTGGTGCTCTCTGAGTTTAGCTGTTTTCTTGCCCAACTAGGTAACATCATCAGTGCTAGAAAGGAGTCAGGTTTGAGGAGGAGGAGGAGGAGGAGGAGGAGGAGGAGGAGGAGGAGGAGGAGGAGGAGGAGGAGGAGGAGGACTGTGGGGCCCCTTAGTGCTGTCTGAGCTTGGGGGTTTTCTTGTAGACATTTCATGACCCAACTAGGTAACATCATCAGTGCTAGAAAGTAGGCTTGCAGCAGGAGGAAGGAGGAGGAGGAAAAAGAAGAAGAAGAAGAAGAAGAAGAAGAAGAAAGAAGAAAGAAGAAGAAGAAGAAGAAGAAGAAGAGGAGGAGGAGGAAGGAGGGGAGGAGGAGGAGGAGGAGGAGGAGGAGGAGGAGGAGGAAGAGGAAGAAGAAGAAGAAGAAGAAGAAGAAGAAGAAGAAGAAGAAGAAGAAGAAGAGAGAAGAAGAAGAGGAAGAAGAAGAAGAAGAAGAAGAAGATGGGTTCCTTGATGCTCTCTGAGCTGGGGGGGTTTCCTTGCAGACGTTTCATGACCCAACTAGGTAACATCATCAGTGCTAGAAAGTAGGTTTGCAGGCAGGAGGAGGAGGAGGAGGAGGAGGAGGAGGAGGAGGAGGAGGAGGAGGAGGAGGAGGAAAAAGAAGAAGAAGAAGAGGAAGAAGAAGAATATGGGCTCCTTGATGCTCTCTTCGGGTGCTTTCCTTGCAGACGTTTCATGACCGAACTAGGTAACATCATCCGTGCTAGAAAGTAGGTTTGCAGGGAGGAGGAGGAGGAGGAGGAGGAGGAGGAGGAGGAGGAGGAGGAGGAGGAGGAGGAGGACTGTGGGGTGCTTGGTGCTCAGTTGGTTTTCTTGCCCAACTAAATGAACGGTTGTAAGTCAAGGAAGGCCTGAAGTGGCTTACAGTTCCCATCATCTCCCCGCTGAAAACGGCAAGATGGCCAGCACAACCAGGAGATCAAAGCTCCACCCATTTTGTGTGGGTCATACTGCTATTGCTGCCCAGTTGGACTTTTCTGAGCACATTGTGAGGACGGGCTGGAAATTCACCTTTGCAAGGCAAAGAACAGCCTTTCCATCCCATCCTTCCATTCTGGAATAACAGAATAACAGTGTTGGAACGGACCTTGGAGGCCCATCCCCCTGCTTAACCAGGAGACCTTAAACTATTCTGGACAAAAGGCTGTCCAATGTCTTCTTAAAAACTTCCAGTAATGGAGCCACCCCACAACTTCTGGAGGCAAGGAGTTCCACTGGTTAATTGTTGCTCGCTGTTAGGAAAGCTCTCCTTAGTTCTAGGCTGGTTCTCTCCCTGGTTGGTTTCCATCCGTTGCTTCATCTCCTGCCTTCTGGGTGCTTGGGAGAATAGGGGGTCCCCCTCTTCTTTGGGGCAGCCCTCCGAGCATCGGAAGACTGCTATCATGTCAGCCCAGACTGTCTTTTCGTCCAACGTTTGTTTTTAGATGGAGCTTCCTCCACCCCTCTCCCCACTGCACTGGCGTGGCTTCTCGTGGGCTTCCTTCTTGGAGATCAACCGTGTCACACGCAGAAAGGCCAAGCCAACATCTTCAGAAAGTGGCCGGACCATTTGCCAGAACAAGGCAATCCAACTGGGTGGAGGGACACAGAGACCACCCCACCCCACCCATCAACTGTGATGCCCGATTGGATGGAAGCTGAGGACTCCCACAGACGCCTCTGACCAACGGTTCAACCACCAGCTGCTTTTTGAAGATGCTGGCTTGGTGTCTTTGGGTGTGACCTGATGGTCCCTCAAGAGAGCCAACTTGACAGAGGGACATCCAGACCACCCCGCTCCATAAATCCACCATAAAACCTAGACTGGATGGAAGCTGAGATCCCCCCTACTACGAAGAGGGGGAAGATTTGGAGCTCAAAGGGAAGAGGGTTAATAGTTCACAGCAACTGTGCCATGGGCAGCTCCAGGGAGAGATTCAGGAATTACGGTTAGACTAGAAAAACTCAGCCACGCTTGTCAAGGTTGAGGAAACAACGGGTCAGGTGGAGGACGGGGGTCAAAGAGAGGACGTCTTTGGAAGCTGCACACGTTTTTTCCTGGGGACAGATCAAGGTAGGCCATCCTATCATCAGGAATCCAACCCAACTGTGAGGACACCTCCTTGCCTCCCAGATTGGTCTACGTTGGGTGGTCAAGATGTCTGTAGCAGAATAGCAAGAGTTGGAAGGGACCTTGGAGGTCTTCTAGTCCAGGCTAGTGGGAGGAAGAGCCAAGAACCAGCCCTGATGCCTTTCAGCTCTTGGAGAAACATCTCGGTGGACGTGGCCCTCGTAAAACATCATCCCGTTCGGCTGAGGCCTTCAGTGACAAGAGAAACCAAGATTGGCAGGTTCAGGAGCCTGGCCTTGGCAGCTCAACCCCACACAGGGAGCCCCCGGTGTGGTTACATCCATGGGAGGCAACCGCAGGAATGTGAAGCTGCCCTACGGTTCTCAACTCTGGGTATCAACTATCCGGCTTCAGCTGGAGACACTCAATCCTGGTGGCTCTTCCAGGGAACAGTAACTGGAGAGGCTCTAAAATATCCCCTCGGATGGGAGACTAGCAAGCACAGCAA